GCATTTTTATAACACAGTGGTCGCGTCTACATGAGGCACTAACTGTTCAGTAGCCTAATAAGATTGTGTAGTAGCATGTCATAGCACAAACATGCACAGTAGCGTCACTAACAAGACGTTCATTGGTGCTACTGGACAGTAACAACAGTTACTGTTCATTTATTTAGTACTTGATTATACAAATATGAAATTAAATGTGCAGTAACCACTATGCATTAATGAGCATGTAGATGTGCCCAGTGTGTTTAAATTAGTTACAGTATATGCAAGGGTGTTTCAGAAACTAACGGCAAAACATCTGACTGTGCTGTAAGACTTTGACAGACAGGAAAACCACACATAAGCATCTATAGCAGCATTGTCAACCACCCCCATCACTTATAGCTATGTAGAGAAGTGGTGTGCTCCTATACAAAATTGCTGCTAGTTCTTGAATCATCCTCATACTTATCATTGCCTTTGCATATCTGTTACATTGCCTGGCTAAATGGTCTCCATCCAACCAAATGCATTTCAGTATAGCCACGGACAAGGTAATTTGGGTTGCTGCTGAAAGATGGGAGACTGATGTCCCCTTTTCTTGCTTTCTAAGTCAAAAGAAATCACTTCATTATGAGCTCTCAATGTAATGCTGTGGCAAAAATGGCTATCGAGATTCTTGAATATGTAAAATGGGGAATACTGGGCAGGAGTAAGTAAGTGATCTTGCTTGAGAAGACTGCTACCAAAATATTGCGTCTGGTTCTGGTCTCCACACTTCAAGAAGAATGTGGAAATACTCGAAAGAATTCAAAGGAGAGCCAGGGACAAACTAACACACTTTTCCAAACTTTAGGGTGGACAATGCATTTGGCTTAGCAAAAAGAAAGTTGAGATCCTTATGCAGGTAAAAGCATGTCTGAAGGACCTCCAATTTTGCTTGCAAAGCAAGCAAGCTGAAGTTAGACAAATTCAGCATTAGAATAATTATTGTACTGGGTGAAGTGGTGGATTAACAGTCTCTTGGAGTCTTTAACATGTTTTATTTTAGCTTCTGAGAGAACTACTATGGCTTCTGTGTGTGCGGGAGAGACTGCTTTGAAAATTATTGCCATGGTCTGTTCCAGTCTTGGAGTTTGAGTGTCCAGCTGTTCTTTCCTTTTTTTTGTGAATGTGGGGAGAATAAGATTGCCTTAATTGATTTCAGCATGCTCATAACTCTTCCCAGTTATCAGTAGAGACTGTAACAGAGTCTCATGCTGCAGGCTGTTGCCTGTGGGAGTAAAAGCAGAAAGCTTTCCCCAGTTCACAACCGACCAGATGTGGAAGGAGTTTGTCATTTTGAGATAAGCCTTAGCTTTAGATAGGACAAGGCGGACTAGTGTTCTGGGAAGGTAGAGTGAATCATCTTTATTTAATCTGTAGTTATTGTGCCTTGCTCACGTGGCCCAGGGTCAAACTGATCGCAACGTTTGGTGTATTGTTTCTTTGCTAGGAGGATTAGCTGGGCATATCTCACCTTTTTAATTTCCTGGGCATTTCTGGGATTCAGGCATTGGTGTCACCTTGGTCCCTACTGTTCTGTGCCTGTGGCTCAGTACAGTTTTAATCTCCTAAGGACTAAAATATTTTAGGATATGTCTACAGTGCAGGCTGTAGTATGGAGTAAAGATGCCCAAGCTAGTTTTAAAGGATTGAGTACTAGAAGCAGTTCTAGCCACAGCAGCACAGAGCTTAGCATGGACTAATTTAGCCACAGGGAAAAATAGATTAGAATATGCATTACAGACATATGTTAAGTATTGCATTGTTTTATTTGCTTTTATTCTGAAGTCTGCCATTCTCCCTTCCTTTTCCCTTCATCCAGCAATAGCTATGATGCCACTTTCCTATTTGAGAGACCAATATCATATCTGTTTTTGGATCAGCTAGTTGGAAGGTATAAATATATGTTCTCTAATTCTAAGTACAGAGCTATTTTCAGATTAGTATCTCTTGTCTTTCTGACCATTTCTGTGTAATCCTAGAGTATGTTTGCTCTCCTCTGGTGGACCATGTTTGCTCTCCTCCGGGTCTTTCTGGTGGAGCATCGCAATGTGATTCTTCAATTCAGTCTTTAAAATGAGTGTCTTTTTACATCTTTTAAATTTTGCGCATGCTCTATGATTGGCTATTTGTATACATAAACCAGGATTTCTGGTGTTGTGTACATTGTTTTAATTAACTTCTGAGTTGTCGTGTTTAATTAGAAAACACACTGCAACTGACTGTATATGGAGATAAGAAAAAAAAATGTAAATGCATTAATTTTTCCTTTGCTTTATAAACTTTCCTCACTGCCACTACATCATCACCCCAGATAACAAAACCATCAGGCAACAGAATTAATAAAACCATGGTTCCTGTACATGCCTTTCTCAAAATGTGATATATCTATAATGCACCAAGGCCCTCGTGGTGACTATCTGAGTGAAACTAAACAGCACTTACACACTAGAATGAACTCTCACAGAAAAAAATATAAAGGACAGAGATGCACATAAACTGTTTGGGGCATATTTCTCACAGAACAATCGCTCCCTCTTTGACCTCGCTATCATGCTCAGGGGAAATCTACCTTGAAAAGGCAAACTTAGGAACAAAAAAGTCAGAAGCTGACTGGATACCAAGGACTTTACACTTTCATCTTTCCGTGAAGAAGGGTATTTTTGCCTTATATCTTCGAATCATCAATATTATGCACGGCAAAATATTCCTGAGCTATTTTAGGTTGTGAATCAATACCTAAAGAGTTTTTCAGTTTTCCTTTTCTCTGTGAAATGGTGGTATTATACGATCAGAATCTGAGGATTTTTTTTAAAGCATTTCCTCTAATTTATACTATTTGATTTGTATATGTAAAGCCATGTTGTATGTGGAACCCATTTACAACAGTACTTTGTGCACTTTTTATTTGTGTAAAACAACTCTACTGTGTTGTAACAATGGGATGGAAATTAAATCTGTAGCAATATGAGACAACTTTTAACCTGCTAGTAGCTGGAAACAGTTGCACACCCAGTTGCACGCCTCTCTCTGTTATCTCAAATCATAAGATAAACTCATTCGTTCACAGGAAAGCAAACATTAGACTAGGAAAGCAGTCTGATTTCACAAACTGGACGTTGTGTTTAGAATATAAAGATTCTAGCACGCAATTTGTAGGCCTTTACAGAGGTGGGGGATTGTCAGTTAAATTTGTTTCATAGGAATCTTTTTGCTTTTTATTTTAAGGAATGTACAGAAAATCCCTCCTGAGGACTTTTTCCTGTATTTAGGTAATCTCATTGGAGCCATTCACAGAAATTAGCTACATGGAATTATTCGTATGTGTAAAACAACATGTATGCATGAATGTTTTCAGGATCAGGCCCTAACTTGTAAATCACTGTTTAGAAACAAAGTGGATTAAGGTTGGATTGTGTAGTTGACAACAACTGAATGAACTGATGTAGCCGCATTAAGTTGCGTTGACATCAGCAGTCTGACTGTATGTAGTCAGCCTTATTGCATTAGTGCTGCTGCTCTGGAGGTCTGGGTCCAACATTTGTATCAGAACTTCAGTCAAGAGAATCAGTTTAGTCTCAAGCAGGGATGGAAACTTTCAGACAGAAAACGTAAAAGCTTTGAAAAGTTATGGCTGCGTTAGAAGGTCCTTGGAAGGGGGAGAAACTTTTTTGCAGCCTCTAACTATAGCAGGAGTAATTTTCATAATGCCTGCTACATCACTAGATGACACACATAACGGAGCTGTGAAAGATTTAACTCATCTTTGGAACAAACTTGGCAACAAAAGCTGTCAAACAAGCAAAACGTATTCATTTTTGTTTAAAATAGTTTTGTTCTACCTCTGAATAAGAGATTTGTCTTGTACAAGCCAGCTCCTTAGTTCTCTGCATGCTACAATGCGGAGTTAATATATTTTGTAGATGATTCTTCATCTTTTCCCATAGGCATTATTAGGGTATCACAGATTCCACAGTTCTGCAAGTCTGAAGTGGAGAAGACTAATAGGTCTCATATGGAGCCCCCTGTTAAAAAATATTATTTTAATAATTACCTGAGTGCTTGAGAAAAATGGGCATTGTCTGTATTATGGAGCAGTTTCCATCCAAGAGTGACTGTCTCTAGCCATCAGATTTCTTATGTAGTTTGGCTTTAGGAGGATTATGCAGATTGCATCCCTTAAAATGAATCAAACTGTTCTTCTCTGTGTGCCTTCCCCATCCCACAGCCTTATGGGTGGGTGAGGAGTAGGGGAAACAATGGCTTCACCTCCTACGATTCCTTTTGCATCCAGATAAAACACCAAAGGAACTGACCTTGCAACTGTGACTGGCCCTTGCATGGGATATTATGGGGGGAGTCATCTGGTATCTTTCCACACTCTCAGGCTGGCCTGCCACAAAAAATAACACTTTAAATACATTTCAGGGTAGGACAATCCATCACTTAAAAAAGAAGGAAGTGGACAAAATGATGGCAAAACAGATGAACAAAAACCTTTACCTGGTCTATTGTCTTGGATAAACAAGTGCCTGTTTACCATACCCTTCTGCTAAAATGGTGCCATCTCTTAAACCTTTAATTCAATAGATGTATCCCTTTGTCATGGCTTTGTAGAAGCCAAATGATCAAACATATATTACAATTTACCTTTGAGGAGAAGTGATACTAAATGTGAACTGAAAGTATATTTATTACCTAGTGCTGTTTTTATGTGGTTTTTTATTAAGAAATTCAGCTTTGAAATACTTCTATAGATATCTATACACTTCTTTGTTGTTCTAACCCTCATGAACTTGTGTATTTGAAAAATTGTTTTATGGTTTTCTATTTTTACTTGAGTTGATGTCATATTATGTCATATGTCCCTGCCATTAAATGCATTCTGTCAGCCAAAAATCTGCTAAGAAATTAAACTGTAAGTGAACATAACACTACAGTTAAGGTTTCTTGGGGTTTTTTTTCCTTTATTTTAGGTTGCTCTGCACGCTTGTGGAGTGGCAACGGATATGGTGATTGAGCACTGCATCAAGGCTCACGCAGCCTTTGTTATCTGTCCTTGTTGTTACGGTTTCATTCAGAACACAGCAAAGTTTACATTTCCACGAAGGTAAATAATTCAGAGGCTGCAAACTTTAAGTTTAAAGTTCCACTTTAAAAAGTGTGGGGGAGAAAACCCCCCAAATATACAAATGGACAGTTAATGTCAAACTTTTCCCTGTTAAGCTGCTGTCAGCGCTGAAAAAATTCTAAGTTTAACTGTCCAGGAAAAAACAGGTTCACGTCACTGGAACCACAAAAATTCCTTACTCACAATCCTGCACTACTGCCTATTCTCCATGCATCCATAGCTTAACAAAATAGGGTTGTGTTATTAATCCCTGGTTTTAGGCTGAAGGCAGATCTTTATGCTATCACATATACAAATGTTATTTAGATGCAATGCTAGAAAATCTACCATACGGACTTCCAACCCTGAGATCTTGGCATTATGGAGCTCTTCTGAAAAGTACTGCCTTTCCGTTTGTTCAGATTGATTAGCTTGTGCTTATGACAGCACTTCATGCCATTGTCATTCTAAATCCTGGGTAGTTATTTTTTCTTTTATTTGTTTTGGTCTTTCAGAGAACAAGGAAAATATTTTTAAAAGCAGGATAATAGGATTTAAAAGCTGCAAAAATGTACAGAGGGATGTAGTAATAAATATAGTACTTAAAACTAAAAATAAATTAAGTAAAGAATTATTTAACGTCATCTTTGTGACGACTGACAAGTCCTGGATTGACAGACACAAAAGGCATGTGTATATGTAGATATATGAGCATATCTGTATGTAGCATAGGGTATTTAGATGAATATATGACTAAAGTCAATTATACTTTGCATTTATAATGTTTTACAGATAGATCTTCTATAAATATGATAAATAAAATGGCACGTAGCCTGTCTTTTCTACTTAAGTGACTTAAAACTGGCTTCAGTTCTGCTTTTGAATACTGCTTCTTACAGATGATCTATTTTGTTTAAAAATCAATCAGGTGCTTAAAGGCTTCTGCTATTTTCAATCTTTGTGATTTCAACTTTTGATTGAATCAGTCTCTTTTTCTGTTTCAGTCATCGGTTCAAGGAAGTTCTATCCTATAAGGTATGTAAAAGATGTTTGCTGTGCTATAGGTTTTCTGTATTGTGCCTTTTTTCTATGATTTGTTGTGAAATAAATAATCTGTCTGTCCTTTTAATCACAAGGGTGAATGCATGGTGTAGTAATGATGTTTAGCAGATCTCATGTGCTGACATTCCTTTGCTTTTGTAAAGGCTTTTCCCAGTAAAATAAAATGATTTCTTCAGAAAAGAACTGTATGTACAGATAAAGTACAAATGACATGGTTCTAAAGTACATGTTTTAACAAGTATCAGTTAAAATGTTGCAGATGCCAGTCATTTTTAAGGCTTAGTAGAAATATTTAATGTTCTTAAGTATATAGCCCTTAAGTGTAAATGCATGGGAACATTTTGAAGAATGCATGTTTCTAGGAACCTCATTTTCCTATTGCTTGTTTTATTCCTACAAGCTTCAACTTGCTGTTGTGCTTGGAGATTGGGATCGGAATCCCAGACTTCACATGTGCCAGCAAGTTAAAAGGGTGCTGCTAGAAGCACAGCATTGGGAAGCAGTCCCCAGTGCCAGGCTCCCTGCACCAGCTGAAGTACAATTGGATTCTGTCCTTGATCCCAAAAATCTCACTTCCTGCCATGCATGTGTGGCATGACAGGATGCATCATTGTTGGAATCCCGGATCACATCCCATTGTGCCGTTAAATAAATGTTTGGCAGTGCCCAGAGAGTCCTAAGCAAGAGGGACTATGAAGAAGGCTCTCTAGGAAATGGGGAAGCACAGTCCAAAAGTCAAGAAATTACCATAAGAGCAGAGGTTCTGAAGACTGTGTTGAATGAAACTGTAGAAGAAAGGCATAAGTATAGCAAATGTTTTCAGCGCCCAGGGATCCATCCAAAATCAACTACTGGGCACGGGCCCCCGCTCCTTCCTAGATACACCCCTATGGCTGTGCAACATGGGGCTTCCCCCACCATGGTAAAGACTCAGGGAGGGGACCATACTGGCACCTGTTCTAAGTCAGCCTCTGGGGCTGACGCCTCATTCAACCTACTGAGGAGAGGAATAAACTCTTGTATACCCAGTGGATTTTCCTTCATTTGCACTCCAGTCATTTTATATAGGGAGTGATTAGTAACCCATAGTGCAGTGAAAGCTTAGGGTTTTTTTCTGCACGTCTGGTTTATGTACCCTTTACTAATTGGCATGGGAAGAAATTTTATTGCTGAGGTTGAGAATGTTAAAAGCAGCCTGTGGTAGTTAGATTTGTATCTTCCATTAATTTATATTCTGTAAACTGCTTTGAAAAATTTCAGCCAGACTTTTGGGCCTTTTTGTTTTTTAACATCGACAATACCATAATTCAGGTTTGCACTCAGGAAGTTTGTTTACTAACTTGATATTCATGCTAGTTTTGTTGACAATATGAGAGAGAAATGGAAGAAAAAGGTGGCAGATTGGAAACAGAAGGTGCACATACAGTTTTTATACAGTGTTGTTTATGTTTTCTCTTCTTTTGTTTATCTGTTTGTCTCATTGCCACCACGGATTTTTTTTGTGGGGGCCAGAATCTCCATGTTATTACTATTATTCATCTGTAGGGCCTAGTAACTCAACCAACATACAGATAATAAATGCTCCTGTTATTAATTGTAAATGACCAAGTGCCTTAAATGGCTTTGCTTATGTAGTTAGCTATGAACATTTTTCTGTATCATATTACTATACTGTCTTAGGTTATTGGCTAGTGGCCAAAGTTGCAATGTGGTCACCAGACATTAGCTGTGTTGCTCAGGTCTTTTTCAAATGCATTTTTCTTATCTTCCTTTTAGTGAGATTTATGGAGATGTCAAGGAGTATGACAATTCCCATACAATAACTAAACCTTATACTTAACAAGGCCTGTTGGGATATAGACTCTCTGTACATGGAGATGTAACACTGTTATTTATCTAGGCCTATCTGTTATAATTTTAACTTTTCTGATAGGAACATTTTGACTTATTAAAGTTGTAAAGATGAGGGTTATGATAGATGTAGACATGAACCATACCACTCTCAGAGCCTCCATTTGTTATCTTCTTCCCTGAGGGACAATTTGAAGGTAGAACCAAATCACTTCAGATATGCAGCTTTGACGACTTAATAGAACTTGAGTCCATTCTAGAGATGAAGTTAAATGCTTAACCACACAGTTAAAATGGATAGTTAAAATAGTGTCTTGATTGTCTGAGTAATGTTATTTGTACCTTTTCCGTTAGCAGGGTACATGACCATTTGCTATTGTTGTGAAAGGAAAATTATGCAGTCATCATTTAGATACAAACTTAACTTTCAGGTTGTCTTTGTAGAAACATGAGGTTTTTTCTGAATTTGTGATCTGGTTGACATTTTCAGGTTAGTTGAATGAGGTAGCTTGGTTTGATTCAGTTCTGGCATAACACGCTGCAGAACTTGTGGGGTGCAGATAGTCCCCAGTTGGGTGGACAGCTCAGAGGGAAGTGGAGAGCTCTCTGTATCCTAATTCTGCATGCCAGAGAACTGAGCTAGGCCTCTTCCTTGGAGGACATAAAGTATGCATGCCCCTAGATCCTAGCAGGATTTGCTGCCTGACATGTCAGCAGGGTTTTAATTACACTTTTACTCTTTGAGGGGTCTGCAAGAAAAATTGTCCAAGGTCAAGGCTGTGTGTGTGGGTCCCTGCCAGTACCACATGGCTGGGGTTAGCGGTGGTGGCAGCTGCAAGGAGCCATGGCCACCTAGGCTGCTTAGAAAGGCATGGGATGGCCCGGGGGCTTTGTGCGATGGCATGCGCTACGGGCTCTTGCAGGGGACGGCAAGGAGATGGGTGCTGACTGGCTGCAGCAGCTCCCCAGAACTGTCTATGTGGCCCATGGGCAAAAATAGTTGGCCACCCCTGACCTAAGTGAAGGAGCAATCCAATCCAAGATCCTCCCCCCCCGGCTATGATTTTCATATCTTACAGGAGGGGCTCTTGTCTCTTATCGGGGTTCAGCCCCCCGAAGCTCCTCTGTAATTCAAACTCTGCATGTAGGAGTCATCCTTCATATGCTCACAATAAAATGACAACAGCTTCCCATTTTGGAGTTGTTTTTACCTACTCTTGTTTTCCCTAACTTTAAAGCTTCTTCCAGTACCTTTCCACTGCCCCTGCTGTTCCTATAGCAGGGGCAGGCAATTATTTCAGGTGGAGGAGCGCTTACTGAGTTTCAGCAAGCCATTGAGGGCCGCATGACAAGCAGCCAGGGGCAGATGTATATTAATTTTCTAAATTTTTTAGGGGCCCCGTGGGCCAGATAGAATGGCCTGGTGAGCTGCATCTGGCCCGTGGGCCACATTTTGCCCACCCCTGTCCTATAGGCTTTCCCTCCACCTTTTCCCATTTACCATAGTTGGATATAATATTTTTGGTCCTCTGGTACTACAAAAAATACAGTCTAATTTAAATATGATTAAAACATTCTGGCCTAACCGTATTATAACATGGTGGGTTTGGATCGAACAAACTCATTGTTATGGCTGTGTTGTGGAGCTGTGAGCTGTTATCAGTATAGATCAACTGAATTAAGAAAGCAAATATCCATTCTTGGGACACAAAAATAAAATAATCTTTAACTTGCCATCATCTTTGAACCTTGAATAACAAGAATAATCTCTTTTGATTAAAAGGTTACATATTTAAGCAAAGCTTTTTTCCATAGTTAGGACAAATTGCTTGTGTACCCTGTATAGGGTAGAGGAAGCTCTCATAATTGTTTGATGTGATTATGTTTCTCTCTTATTTTCTGATGTTTATGCTGCCCCCATTAGAAGTCAGGTTTAACTGAACTTGCAGTCCCTTCACTTAATGCAGGAAGTGAGGTGTTATAATTTTTTTTGCAATAGCTAATCAAAGAATCAAAAAATATTTTACCTTGGATTCCTTTTAAGAGTTTTCTCTTTCTGATACCCAATAGAAAACTTACTAGTGTCCTCACATCCTTTCTGCATCCAAGTTGGACAGTTCTGGAATAGTTCTGATTGCTGTGTTCTGGCACTTGAGAGTGCATCTATCTCACCTAGTACAATTGTCAATGAAGCTTTTATTTCAGTTGTCACTTCACATTAATTTTCCCCCTTCCTCTGCTTCAGATATAGTCAGCTCTCTCATGTGTGCCTTTGACTTCCCAAAGTCTGGAAATTGCCAACATAATCCATTGTGGAACTCTTGCAAGCTTCTTTATGCCTTTTGTTTGCAGAATTGCTGACTGAAGTTGATTTAGTGCTATTGAGTACAGAAAGTTTTCCCTAAAAATCCATATAGCTGGGCTCCACTTTCAGACTGACCTTTGAACAATTTGGCTCAGATTTGAGAAGAGGAAAATATCCTGTAACTAATAAGTTTGATGCTGATTTCTTTCCCTGCTCCTAATGGTTCCTCATGGGGGGCATGAGGTGTTTCAGAGTGCCTCAAGCTCCAGTTTAACCATCCAGGGATGGGGAGAGGCCCTCCAAAATTGGCCCTGCTTACTGAAGGGCTTTGCTACTGATTGGTAGATGAGAGGAAGTTCAGAGAGTCTGAACCGTGTTATCCAAGAGCAGTGCCAGGTAAGGGGCTGCATCCTGTTCTATTGCTGATTGTAAATATGGAAAACTGTTCCAAAGGAAACATCCTTCCTCCTCCCCCCAAACCTTTATGCAAATGGATGTGTGGAAGTGGCTATAAGAACTTTATTAGCACAATTCACAAAGAAAAAAATAATTTTCTCAAGGAAGTATTGGTATTAATCTCTGGAACTAGTGTATATTTGAATTGTTTCTTGGATTCTGCAGCTAATGACTGTTTGAAAGAATGTAATGAAATAAGACCATGTTTCTGTACATTTTGTTCTAGGAGCACATGATTCTCTGCAGATTTGCAGATCAGACGGCTGTCCAGCTTCCACCCGAACGCAAGATAATAGGTATGTATTGCCACAGAGCAGTTGTTTTACAGATTACAAGCACTGTACTTGGTGATGTGCTTAGCTGACTGTATACGGGAAGAAGTGGTACCTATATCAACGGGGAGTTACCGGCATCAATATGCAGTTCAACCTAGCTTTTTAGTTTACTTGAAATTTGTGTGGTTCTGTTTTCCATTTTGTTTTTTTCACTATGGTTTATAATAGCAGTAACTTCCTTCAGGTGGGATGTTTACCTGCAACTACTGACCAGCAGGATTAAGGTACATTCTTCCTCATTTCTTTCAGTGGTTCATTGAATGTTAAAAAAAAACACGATGTTTTGGCAAATTTGGCTTAATTAATACACATCTTGATTAATGAAAAAAATGAAATGATCTAAAAAGTGAAGAAGTGAAAAGGTGCATTAAAAAAAGATGTACTTTACCAGTGCTTATAAAGAAAGGTTCCTGTTAGGTATGAGTTTGAACCAAGATCCCAGATTGAAATGCCTCAAAGGGTAGATGTTTGTGGTATGAAGCCTAAAACCTCGATCTACTGTTTACAGCTTGAGTTCTTTTCTGGTTTTAGGAAGGTGACAAATGACAAATGTTCCTAGATGAACAAAGAACTAGGTTAGCTGTGGAAAATGGAGGAAGTTGCGACTTGCTGAAATTAGAGCTGAAGAGAAATGACTATATGGAGTACAAAAAAGAATCAGGAATAAGACATGTTGAGTATCAGGAATGTCTGAAAAGAGCATGCAATGAGGCAGTAAAAATAAGGGTCGTAGAGGGGATTTGATTATACAGTGGGGCAATAACAGGCATCGTCTCATGTAGGCCAAATAAAAGAATGTAAGAGAGAACTGTAATTTTCTTTTCCTGCCAACATCTTCAGGGTGTTCTTTAAATTCTACAAAAGTCAAAACCACTGTCAGCAAGTTTGAAAAAGAGACACAAATCATTAAGTTTGTCCAAGCTTCCAGCCTGCTTTGGCTTATAGAAAGGCAGAATGTATTATTGTATTGGATGTTCTAAAGGAAATTGAACGGGTAAAAGCTAAAAAAAAGGGCTGGGATAAATTTAGGCCAAGATAGGGCCAGCACTATGAGAGTGCAGGTAGACCCTTTGGTCTCAAAAACACTCATTATGAAGCATATCAAACCAGTAGCAGCAGCTAATCTAAATGGATTAAAAATGCAGCATGTGCAGCAATTTCTTTTAGCTAACAGCATTAAAAGAAATGCTGCAGATACTGAGATAACTTTATCTGTTTTTAAGTAAAATTGGCAATTATTTTGCTAGTGCTGCCATATTTGGAAGGAAAGAAAAATCTTGTCAGTGTTAATAGCTACTGGGAAGATTCCAGCTGGTGGGAAGAGTGTCTTTTGTATTGCTTGTTAAGCAGTCTTGGGAAATGAGAAGGAACTGATAGCTAGGAAGAGCTGAGGTGGAAAATAATGGATCCTCTTTCTGACTTTTGTTATCTATGTATTTCAGATAATCTAAATCAGTAGTGCTCAACCTCCAGCACAAGGTGCCATGTCATCTGACCCACAGGGCTCTCCACAAGTGTGGAAATTTGGTGACAAGGAGTGGTGGTCACATTCATTGCCATGGCTTAGATGTGGAAGGTTAGTGCCACAGCAATTAATGTTGCCACCGTTCCCTAGTCGCCAAATTTCTGGAGCTGTAAGAGCCCTGTAGGCCTGATGACACGGCCCATTGTGCCAGATCACCCTGGTGTGTGGAATCGCGCTGCAGCCACATCCAGCATGCAGGGCCGGGCCAACTTGCTACATTACTGTTGTGGACTGACTCCACGCTGTATTTGGTCCACCGACCGCTCATGCACCACTCATGCAGCCTGTGGGACCTAAAGGTTGAACACCACTGATTGTAACCGTTTGTATGTTCTTGTAGGAAGTGCATGGGTTTTTCTTCATAAATTTCTGTTAAGCATACTTTCTCTTGAGAAGAAAAAATATACTCCTTTGTATGCCTGTTTCTAAAAGAACATTATTTCCCATTTGTGTTCCATTTAGAGTACCCTGCATCACCTATTTCACTGTTGAAACTGGTTTTACAGGGGGTGTGGCTGGTGTGGATTAAGTTTTGTTTTCCCCGAGTAGGGTAAAGGTCACACCAGTTTATTGTGAGATTCATGTTCTTTTACAGGTATTCAGAGGCCATCGTAGATTTCCATTTAAAAGAAGTTTTAAATGAATAAAAGATCTTCTTTTAAAATATATTTCTCTTTATTTGTAGATAGTAAGAACATAGATTATTTTTTCCCATCTTTAGAAATCTTAAGTGTGTGTGTATGTAAATGTGTATGTGTGTGTATATAAATATATTTATACACACACACACAATATACATGTATCAATATACATATATGTGTGCATTATATATACTTAGCAATTCACATTGTGGGTGTTACAGTTTCACTAAGGTTTATTGCCTGTATAACATGGGTGCCAATTTCACCTTTTGCCCCCAGCTAGGTCCAGAGCACAGGGCTGCTTTCAGGTCAGATCTGGATCAGGGTATGAAGAAGCTGCAGCAGCAGCTCCAGCTCTGACGCAGAATTGCAAGAGTGATGGCAGCTTCAGGTTCAGCTCCAGCATGAGGCATGCAGTGGGATCTGGTGGTTGGGGAGGTAGGGCCACAACAGCGTGGATGGGCAAAGCCACCAATCAACATGTCCACTGGAGATACTCCCCCTCCCCTGCCACACTGGTTGTCCAGTGGGTTGTGGAGAGGGGTTCCATGGGCTGGATCTGGCCTGTGAGTTGTATGTTTTACATCCTTTATCACATTGCCCATGCATATATTCAAATACAGTGTAAAGGTTTTGGCTAGTATTGGTAACCCTGTTTATCTATATGTTACCAATTACTGTAGTGTTGGTGAATTAAAGAAAATGCTTATTTCACCCAGTACTCAGTGGACAGAAATTCCTCATAAAATGAATGATGACTTATTTTCCTGCAGACCTTCATTCTCTTCCTCTCCCACCTTTTCTACAGCACAATTTGGGCTTTGTGTTGGATCTTATACATGTCCTCAGTTGCAACATCCATCCACAATCAGTAATGTCACCAATACCCCTCCAACTATCCATCCAGTATGTACTCTCATATCTAAGACCGATTCCTTTGAGACCCCCAGGCTAATTGGGTCTATATTGTGAATAAGGTCCATACTATAACATTTCCAACTGGCACCTCTTAGGTGAACAGGAAATATTTGTAATGCTGCAGTGAAATGGTGTGTGTCCATTCACAGAAATTTGTCCAGTCTGCCATAAAAGGAAATTGTCATTCTAATAGCAAATACAAGGTTCGGTGCTGCGCAGTGCAACTCTACAGAGATCAGTCTTGGTAAGGTGTAAAAACTGCCTGCAAAGCGACCAAACTGCTAAAATGGAATCCATAACTGGGATGGCAAGAGGTAAGCATTTGTATCAGGCAAGCAAATATGCCTGCCCTGATTGCACATCCCTAATTTTTTTTCCTGCCAATTGTAATTAAGCACTCAATCACTGCTTGTGCCACACTCAAAGCCACCAGTCACCCAGTGGGGGGCAAACTCCAGCCCTATAACTGTCTCAGTGGAGGTAACATATTTTCATTTGTAACTAAGGAACATGCATTTTAGTTCTACAGAAGAAATTAATTTGGAGATCCACTTTTTATGAAAAGACAAAGTAGACTGAAGTCACTTTAGCTTAATATTGAAAAAGAAATAAACACTACCATGTGATACACAGCCATCTGTGCACCAGCTTTAGTAAACTGGATTGTAGAATCCTAACCGTCAGATCCCAAATGCATTTGATAGCGTATCAAAAGGGAGTTGAGCAATTGGAATGTGAAAATGAGTGGCTATCACAGCCTTGTTTCTTGTTCAGGACTTAGGACTGTATAATTATCAATCTCATAAATACTTTTCAGGATATTGCTGAAATTTTCTTCCAATGGTTGTGAAATGGCTGATAGTTCTATCTTTTCCATGAACAGTCCTTCAGATAGTTTGATGAAACATAGGAGCCAAATATATTAAATAATATTCACCTGGAATCAGTTAAAATAAATAAATGAAGAAGCAGAAAATAAACACAGCTTTTTCCTTCTACGGTCATTCAGATTTATTCCCTTATGTATTTTTAAAATGAGGTTTATGCTTCCATTTTAGAAGGAATTAGACTGTAATTTTGGATCTCACTTATAAACACTCACATGCTTGTGCCCTGATCATTTGCTTAAGCTACACTCTGTTTGATGTTTATTTTCATATTGATTGTGGAAATGAGATAATATTTATGTAAGATCCCCAGGTTTAAGATGAACCATGAGGAAGATGAGGACAGTGAGAAGGAAAAGGACTAGAGCTGAAGGGAGGTGAAACTAGTTTGAACGCTGACAGTGATATTTGTTGCGCAGTTGGCCCCCTGAAAGCACTCTGTAGCCATGCCCTTACAGAAGCACATGGCTGCAGAGCACTTTAAAAGTGCCCAATTGCATGACAAATTGCATCAAACCCATCATTTAATGAGGGTTCAGATGAAGGTGCTCCAAAGTGGAGCGCCTTCATTAACTTCTGTTTGTCCCTGTGCACGTTCAGGGGGTTGCCATCAGCCCAGCCTACCCCCGGTGCTGTCTTCAGGATGGAAGTGGGGAGAAGGGAGAGGAGGGAGGTCCAGTCTGGAGTTTGCTCAGCCTGCACTTGATGGGGTGGAGGTAGGTGGATTGCAGCCCCCCCACCAAGGTGCTCCAGTCCACCTGGCTCCTGCCCCTCCCCCAAGCACAGGCTGGGCAAACTCCAGAGTGGAGCTCCCTCCCCTGCCTTCTTCCCCCTCCCGTCCTGAAGAAAGCACCAGAGCTGGGGGGTGGGAAGGGTGAAGCTGGGGCTCTCCTCTGGATCAGCTTCAAAGTAGAGCTCAATGGTTGGTGGGGGGTTCACAGTACAGTGGGGAACTACACTGTCAACGCCCTTTCAGACAGCATGGTGCCAATCTGTTCCCACTACCTGGGATCCTTTTCCCCACTTGTGTGTCCCACATCTCTCAACTTGGAAAATATCAGAGAGCAGGCTGTGTCCATTATGTGTCTCCATCTGTAAAGGCTGATAATAATTCTTCTCAACTTCTTTGCTGTGTTAGGTGTGTGAGGAACATAGACAGCAACTGCCAAAGAATAGTTATTTCGTAATTAACTTAGAAAATAAACAAAATGGGAAAAGCAGATTTGATGATGCCATACTTGAGGAGTAGCTTGCTTCTAAATTAATTGCCACATTTTCTGACCACCTGAATGACTGAACAATGACAAAGTGTGTATTTCTTTGTATGTTAAATATTTCTACATATAGTTCCAGAAGCCATTTCATCCCCTGCTTTTGCTTTTATATTCTAGGAAAACAGTGTATGGGGCTGGTGGACCTGGATCGGGCATGGGCTGCAGAAGCATACAACTATTCTGTCCAAGTGATATCCATGGAGCCAGAGAGTTGCTCCCCAAAGAACAACATGGTAGTTGGTGTCCCCGTTTAGAGTAAGGGATTTATATTTAATTTCAACTTAAGCATCAGTCCTCATGATCAAAGCCTGATGACATCTAGGGAATTGAAACCATAGCTAGGAACCAAAAATCAAACATCTTGAACCCATTGTCTTGGTAAAAGGAAGCAGGAAAAAATTTGGAAAGTCAGCTGCCTGCAGAGCATCGCAAATCTTCCTTGTAACTATTGTTTTTAGAGCATCCTCTGACTTCCCACCTAGCTCTAGAGTAACATCCATCAGCAAAGGTTCAACAAAGTTTGGTTTTATTGCTGAAAGGATGATTTCTTTTTAATATTGGCCTCCCTACTGGTCTTCCATTTGAAATTGTATCTCAGGAAAAGATACACATTCACAGGCTGAGCATGCTTCTGGCACTAACGTAGACCTGCAGATGGGCAGTAAAAGTTACTGACTGCATGGTAGTCTAATTTTAAAATATCTAGTCACATTTACAGCATGACAGGGTAGACTGAACAGTAGAGTGCACACTTCGTATGGGTTGATTTTTGCTGTAAATTTTCTATCCTGTTGTAACTGCACTGTTTTTCATAAAAATCTTTGAAATACTGTTCACCCAACAAGGACAGTCCTCCAGAGAGATAGATTGCACGTTTGAAAGAGCCACCCAGATACCACGTGAAGAACTGCTGCAGTACAGAAGAAAAACCCCCACAAACCGCACACCTCTGGTTATGACACATCACCCCTCCCTCGAACCTCTACGGAAAATCCTCAAACAGTTGCAACCCATACTAGAAAGGGACCCAGTTCTTAAAAAGATCTTCCCAGAGCCACCCATCGTAGCCTTCAAACAAGCACCGAACCTCACTAACCCCATCACCAGAAGCAAACTTCCTCAATCCCAGAACACACCAAAAGGATCCAGACCATGCCATGACAAGAAATGCAAAACCTGCCAACACATCTGCACCACCCCCACTATTACTACACCCCACAACAGAGCCATCAGCATCCCAGGATCTTACAGCTGCACCTCCAGAAATGTAATATACCTCATCCAATGCACCAAATGCCCTGATGGAAAATACGTAGGAGAGACCAAACAACAACTGCACACCAGAATGAACTCACACCGGAAATCTATCAAAGACAGGAATACCCAATTACTGGTGGGGGCACATTTCTCACAAGAAAACCACTCTCTCTCCAGTCTCTCAGCCCTGATCCTCAAAGGAAACTTACACAAGATATACAACCTCCAGGAGGTTGATGAACTCTACTTCATCAACCTCCTGGATATTAAAAATCATGGACTAAATATAGACATTGGATTTATGACACATTATAACCTGCCTGACATCTGACTCCCCAGGTATCTCTCCACTGTTCATCCCCCTTCTCTTCCCTTCCCCCCCCCCCCCCCCCCCCTCTCTCCCACACAGCTCCCCCATTGCCTCCTCAATCTACGTTTTCACTGACTGCCTGTCTTGTATGCATACCAGCCCAGCCTTTGGCTTCTTTACTTTTCATTCCATCTAGGAAGAGCACACACCAACTGCTGAAACTTCCTTAGGCCAACGAAGGGTTTTTGAACCCAAAAGCTTGCTTAATAATTGTTTTCCAACTATTTAAGTTGGTCTAATAAAAGATAACAGATTCACGCAAAGAACCTTGTCTGCCTATGTCCTTAGACCAACACGGCCACAACCTACACCCCTGCTCACCAAAGATACATTTTTAATCTCTCAGTATTTTTTTTTTAACATTTTTTTAGACATGGAACATGAGGATTTTGAGCTCAGGAGTATGAAAGAGCAAACAGTGGGAGAGGAGTTTGATACTATATGGACTTCCTAGTACTTCATTGCCATTTCTACCAACCAGGATATGTTCTCTTTAGCTTGGTAGACCCATTGACAATGCTAGCTAATGTTTTTCCATTATTGAAACTAATAAATATGTTTGGAGATGCTGCATTTTTACTTCCATTATCCTCAGTTTATTTTTTCCTTTACAGTATGTACAAAGTTGCAGCAAGAAAACCACGTGACAATATCATCCATGCATATGTTACATTAAAAGAAAAATAAATCTGTTGTGTTCCAACTGGTAGACTGTTTCCTGCATCCTAATTTAAATTTAAAATCATTCCCTGACACTAAATCAAATCAAAATAGTGTGTCATGGATTTGTTTTGCAGTTTTTCTGGTTTGGTGCATTTGTGAATTTTGTTCTTTGTTAGTTTAATATATAATTAAGGTTTGGTCCAGATCAACAGCTCTTCAGTGAGTGTTGTGTATGCATCTACAAGACAAAAAAGGTGTGGGAGAATGAAAAGGCATCTTCTGAAATAATCTACACCTCGTGAAGGTCACATATACAAAGAAACTGTGATGGTGCTATACATAATGGCCACTAACAGACGTGAAGAAAAACAAAGAAACAACACTTTAATGGAAGAGGAGGTGTCCTAGTTTAACCTGGCTTGCCAAGCATCTGTATAGTTTGTGCACTTCAGCAGGGCTTTTTGGTGCTTTTACCTAAAGCTGATTCAATAAGCTAGTAGATAAAAGCACCAGAAGGCCCTGCTGAAGTGCACAATCATTATACATGTTGGGCGAGCTGGGTCAAACTAATGTGATGCCTCTTCTGGGCATGCACTGCATTTGCTGCCGGGGTGCACCAAGCGGAAAGTAAAGCAGTGTTTGTTTTTTCACATCTGTAAGCAGGCTGTTACTTTTAGACATGCCACACAAAGACATGCACACAAGATATACAAGTAAATATGGTTTTATACCAGCAAGCTGAATTTTCACTACATAGGAATGCTGTACTTTTATATCAAGTTTTTGACAGGTCACAGAAGAAATGGCGGTCTTATTCCGCACCAATTGCTTTCTATAATTTGTCAAGCCTGCCCAAAGAAGTTAACCATGAAAAGAAGAAGGTAATGAGACAAGGGGTCACCAGCCCCATTATATTCACTTTGATAGTTATCTCAGAGATAAGGTATAGCAAAAGAAGCAAATTTCACAGTGAATGAGTTCCCTGTAAATGTGCCTGCTCTTAAAGAAAGTAAATGCTTTAATTTTCTGGATGTGAATAGGAACAAATCCCATGAACACTGTGAGAGTCTGCTGGATGGGACCAGGCTTCAGAGTAAATGAGAAATTAAAATAGAATAAAAAATATGAAGAGGAAAAGTAAAAGTATCTCACTGCTTCTATGTTTCATTATGGTATTACATTTTTGGGAAACTGGGTGGGGCTGTAGAATATAGGTTTTTGTGACACATCTGTGAGGTCAAACAGCATCTTGCCACTCTGGACGTCTGCCTTGCATCCCTTTACAATAGGGGTGGGCAAAATGCGGCCCAGGGACTGGATGTGGCCCTCCAGTCCATTCCATCCGGCCCGTGAGGCCCCTAAAAAATTTAGAAAATTAATATTAATCTGCCCTGGGCTGCCTGTCATTGCAACCCTCAATGGCTTGCCGAAACTCAGTAAGCGGCCCTCTGCCAAAAATAATTGCCCACCCTGCTTTACAAGCTCTGTTTTGTGGCCTTGGAACAGCTGGGTTAGTGGACTCTTTCTTTTTCTTTTCCTCTCTTGAGACTGAAGACTTTTAAGTGGGTAAGAATGGGGTTCACATATTATCAGTAAAAGAAAACAAAGGAACAAAGTATAATGGTTGATTAACCAATGCTCTGATCATTAGATAGAAGAGAAAAATGGATGAAAAGTAAAAAAAAAAAGGTGGGTGAGGGGTTTTTTTTTGGCAACAAATAAAAGCATCTTTCTTACAGGCATGCTATGACTATGCTAGGAAGTTCGATCTGGAAATGTAGACTCAGCCTTACTAATGCTTAGTTTCATTATTCCATTACATATTTGCTATTTAAAATTAAGATGCACTTCATGAAGTTACTGCATGTAGATGAATAGGATCTAGAATTTCAGAAGGGGGCAATTAAACATTACTAACCTGACAGGTCAGCAGTTCATCTATTGCTTCCAGCTGAGACTCATGTGGCCTTTAATCCAAGAAACTAGATTCATATGCAAGTACCTGGCTGGATCTTGTGTGCAGTTCTCCTCAAGTAGTCCCAATAGGACTAAGATGTGTTAGTAGGTTGTACAGTGTTTATCCCAGCACCCACCATC